CTCAAAGGTTACTGTGCAAGCGGCTGTAGAAGATGAAGATCTTGATCAGGCTGGAGGATGGCTACAGTTTCCTGCCTTCGTTGTCTCGGGAGCCAGATGGAGAAAGAGCTCAAGCAGAAAACAGAACTCTAATGCCTTAGCTTCCTCCTCCTTCTCCATCTCGGTTTCTGCTAAAAATTGCGCTGAATGGGACAATAAGCAAGGCCGTCTGTAAAACGTCCCATGTGAGTTTAAATGGAGAGCTCATATTTCTTAAAATAAAAGAAAGATAGAGGTAGAGAGAGAATAAAAGCTCATATTAATGGAAAGTTTTTCCAAATATCATATTTAATTCAAACAACTTATTTAATTAGCAGATAGAGATAGGGCGAACAAATAATTGTTATAAATAATATATTTCTATAAATAAATGTATAGCTATATGCTCATATAAATATACGTGCTTACAAATATTTATTTAATTATAAGCACATCTTATTTATATAAATTTAAGCATAGCCAACTATTTATTTAAAATTTTAACATGCACTAAATGACGTCTATTTGTACGAGAACATACCCACTTGAACGATCTTGATGATATGAACGTGATCTTACAGTCCATTTTGTAAGACGATTTCATCGAACAAAAAATGTTATATGAATGAAGATTTACGTTAAATCCTACTTGAAGTGTTCAACCTAAAAAAGTTCCCAACTGAGCAACCAAAGCCCAAAGATGCAAAACATCAAACATCTTGCAGTCAAAAAAACAAGGGAAAATGAAGGCACAACTCACGTGTGTAAAACATTTGACCTGTCGTGCCAACTACCAACAGATTCCAAGACACCGCATAACATAAATGAAAAAGAATTAGAAACAGGTTCCGCAAACCTTCATCAATATAGGCCCCAAAAATAAATTTTAAGAAGAAGAACAAATTGGAACCAAGTTTTACCTGTATAGACGATAATCAATGATCACGTTGGTCCGAGCAGCGACGAACACAGTCTTCTGTCACCTAACACGGCAAGAGCACAGATTCCGCGGGCCTTTCTAGGAATTTGTAGCTCGAAATGATCCAAGAAAGGATTTTTTAGAAAGAGAAATAGAATGAGGACGAAGATGAAACAGGTGAATAGAAACGCAGCGTAATTGTGGAAAAAAAGAACGGCAAACAACACATGCAATGAAATCAGGTGGTTTAGGTTTTGGTGTTGATACGAAAATGTTCCTTTTGAACACTTTTTCGCGGAAATCTCGCAAGATTTGGCTGTTTGGCCGAAAAAATTGCTAGATATCACGCGAAGAATTAGACCGTTCCACCATAAACGTGGCATTCTTGAATGGAATTAGCCCTGAAGGACGTCCTCCTCGATGCACATTGCTTTAAGTTCGTATTTATATTTTTTTCGGTGGGCAGTTTCACCTCCCTATTCACCATTGACTGGAGTTTTTGCTCAGGAAAAAAAATAATATAAAAATATATCAGAATCTACTTCAAAACTTTTTGAATTCATTATATGTGATTTTGAACTATATTAATGTTAATAAAAAACTAAAAATTTTACAGCTCATTTTGCTCCTTTTTCCTTTAGGTTTTTAATTGATATTTCACTGCTACTATCAGTGCTATGTTCAATATTGATCTATTAACATCTTTTTCAAGACTTTTTAAAACAGACTTTTTTAAAAAAATTATAATTTTGTACAAAAAAAATCAGCTTTAAAAAGGAGTAAAAAATGTCCTAAAAAATCTTGTCCTGCTAGTTGATAGCTCTGACTACCAATCAAAAGATAATGAATTTGAGACAAATTATCCTACTATCGGATTCTCATTCTAGCCAAATTTTAAGAACCACCGGCAATGATATAGCCAACTTCATATCCTCCCATGAGCTCAACAACTGAAGCCGAATTCATAATAATAACATGAAGATTGAAGGTTATCATTTTTGCTTGAAATATGCTTCTTCTTTTATTTTAATTGGCCTTGTCATTGATTTTTTTTGTTACACAAAGCAAATTAAATTGTAATTTAAGAAAATTTTTATGTGTTTTGAATAAATGTGTGCTACTAAGAGGCGTTTAATGGCATGGTGGAGCTATAGCAAAGGCATTTGAGGGCCATGCGCAAGCTAGTCCGGCCTTGCCCAAAGTTCATTATTATTTTTATTAAATCCTAACCCATGCCCCGCCAATGATCCCACTCCTTACCCGACTGTGCAACCATGGATGCATGTTACACTGAGAAAAATCTTAGTTTCATGCCCTCATTTGCTTTCTATATTTGGACTATCGCCACCATCGGACTATCATACATTGAGTTCACAGAGCCGCATGTTTGCGACATACAAGCTCAACTTGTTGTTCACCTAGTTTACGGAGATAGACGTTGTGAGTCACAACCCTTGCGAGCTTTTTGATTGCCTTCATGAATTGTGTTGTATGTGAAAACTATGTAGAATTGAGCCAAAGAAAGGGAATGACTTAGAATTCTATGTAATTGTCCAATTGAGAATGGAGAAAGCATAGTCTACCCCCTCATATATACTAAATGATAGTGCCTAAAAAGGGAGAAGAATGGGAATAGTTTAACCACAAGATTCAAACCATCCATATTAGAATGATAATATCCTATACAGCTTTACATTTTTTTTTAATCCTATCCAATATTATCTAGCACGAGTAGATCGTCGGATTTGATGGAGCCGAACAGAGAGCAAATTCGTGATAAGGGCAAGGGAAACAAGAGGTTTCACGGGTGATAAAGTGAGTAGGGTAAGTCGCTCGTGACAAGATTTTTTTATTTTTTATTTGTTTTTGTGCTGTTTAAGCAGTTAACTAAAAAAAATGAGGTTTAGTTCTAAAAAAACCTAAATTAAACAAGGATGATTATGGGACATGAAATAGGGTAATTTTATCAATTCTTAGGGGGTGTTTGGTATAGGATTGGATTCAATTTTAATATGATTTACTAAATCCTGTAGTCTCTATTAATATGCTTTTGGGTTTAGGACATGTTATGATTAAGAATCAAAGCTGGATTAAATACAGATTAGCAAACTTTTTCTGATGAAAAAGCATAAGAAGCGCAATATATGACCTCTGAATCCACATTGAAATTTAAATTTATTTTATTTGACCAGTGTTATCAGAGGTCCTAAAGCTTCTAATTTGGACTGGTCTCGGGGCTGTTTGAATCGGATTTATCTGGGATTTAAGTCGGATTTACGCTAAATCTAGCCAAACGGTTTTTGTGCGCGCGTTAAATCCCGGATTTACGGATTTACTGCTTAAATCCCAGATTTACTAAATCCCTCCGTTCGGCGGATTTAACGAGATTTAACCGAAGAAGCGCGCGGAAGGGAGAAAGTTACCTTCACATCCAGCGAGGTCCCGTTGTTTCTTCCGATCAAAATGTACTAACTTCCGATCCGACAGGAAGGGAAAGTCGTCGAAGGAGCGAATTCGAACAGCCATGAAGGAGCCGAAGAAGCGACGCGTGCAATCTATACACCTCCTGCAAAGCAACGAAGCCGAACAGCAACGACGAAAAGAGAAGATGAAAGGTAAACCCTAGACGCCTCTAAGTTATTATTGATTAACTTAATAAGTTGGAATTTAAAGTATGAAACTTTTACTTACAGAAAACCTAAGGGCTCTTGAGCAGGGTGGAAATTTAGAGAGAGACGAAATTTCACCTTTCAAGCGGCTGTAGAAGATGAAGATCTTGATTAGGCTGGAGGATGGCTATAGTTTCCTGCCTTCGATCGTCTCGGGAGCCGGATGGAGAAAGAGCTCAAGCGGAAAATAGAACTCTAATGCCTTAGCTTCCTCCTCCTCTTCGGTTTCTGCTAAAAATTGCACTGCATGGGACATCAAGCCGTCTGTAAAACGTCCCATGTGAGTTTAAATGGAGAGCTCATATTTCTTAAAATAAAAGAAAGATAGAGGTAGAAAGAGAATAGAAGCTCATATTAATGGAAAGTTTTTCCAAATATCATATTTAATTCAACAACTTATTTAATTAGCAGAGAGAGAGACAGGGCGAACAAATAATTGCTATAAATAATATTTTTCTATAAATAAATGTTTAACTATATGCTCATATAAATATACGTGCTTACAAATATTTATTTAATTATAAGCGCATCTTATTTATATAAATTTAAGCATAGACAACTATTTATTTAAAATTTTAACATGCATCAAATGACGTCTAATTTGTAGGAGAACAGATCCACTTGAATGATATTGATGATATGAACGTGATCGTATAGTCCATTTTGTAAGGCGATTTCATGAAATAAAAAATTTTACATGAATGACGATTTCACGCATGAAGAGCTCGCACGCATAAATTTCTCATAATTTTTTGTGATTTAAACATTTCAATCATTGTATGCACAACTATTTATGATGAAGAGCATACTATTCAAGTCGCAAAACTCAAATTCTAAAAAGTGAGACAACAAGAAGCATCATGGAGTAATGCATGACAATGTGTAACCAACGGCTTGTACAAGCAATTGGTTATAGACTAAGGTTTTGTTTGAGACGACTTTCTTCTTGCTTTTTAACACAGCTTTTTAATATAATAATTTAAATTTTTGTACTAAAAAGCTGCTTTAAGAAGCAATAAGAAAATGACGTCTAATTTGTAGGAGAACAGATCCACTTGAATGATATTGATGATATGAACGTGATCGTATAGTCCATTTTGTAAGATGATTTCATGGAACAAAAAATTTTACATGAATGACGATTTCACGCATGAAGAGCTCGCACGCATAAAATTAATTCAAAATTCATGAATAAATCAGTTAATAATAATTCAAATTCAAGAATAAAAAATTAAGAATTTTAGCTAAAAATTCATAAAAATTAAATCAATTGACGCTTAAAACTTCGAGTTTTTACATCTAAATTATGTGGAATTCTATCATTAATATTCTATTATATTTCATATGTTATGTAATTTAAACCCTAATTAAATAATTTTCTTTATTTTACAGTAATTTTTTATATTTTATAATAAAGAGATAATTGAATCAAAAACTAAATTGAACCTGCAAACATAAAAACTATGAAAACTAAGGAAATTGGACTTAAAATCTTACTTTTGAACACTCTTCTCTATCATTGTTGGAAACATATTCGAACTTTAATCGATTTGATGTTTTGAGAATTCCTATTTTTTTAAAATTAATTTGATTTAGCTAATTTGATTTAGCACAATCAAAATAGATTACATCAATATATGTAAATATAAAACTATATAAACATAAATATGTATACATATATTCATTTAACCTCATAAAAAGTCATTAAGCACAAATATAATTTTGATTTTGTATGGAAAACCTATAAATCTGATTCAATAAGAAGTTATTTCCCAATAGACAAAAGGCTCCACAAATCTTAACAAGATATTCACAAAAATCATTTTCAAATATCACCTGATTTCCATCCTATCACTCGTTATAAAATACATAAGCTGACACTCAGTAGAAAGAATATTGTGTTTTGCAAAACAAATAAAAAATGTTTCTGTACTAAATGCTCCTTTTTGTCAAATTGATTGCCATGAAATAATAAGAAATGCTTTTAAGCTTTCAATCCCAGCATCACTAATGCAGAATATTGAAGCAGATGTTCCCTCCTGCAAAGCTACAATACAAACAAGAATGGTAATCTGTAAATCACAATCACGCTTCATTTTTTTGTAGGACGCATTGCTTGGATTGTGGGAGCGTTCATATCAATCCATATGAGAGGAGGAGTTGAGCCAGTCAACCTCTCTCAGATTTCCCTTTACTCCTAGCAAATGGCACAGGGATGACAGAACAGGTGAGTTGTTAAATCTCCACAGGGAGCCTCCTAAAAATTAAAATATTTTGCATTAATAGATGAACAATTATTTTAGTATCAAATGCCACAATCCACGTGCAATTCTGAATGAGCACAAGGAAGAATACAATTAACCTGTTCTTTATAGCAACCAGTCGATTAATAAGGCTGTATGGCAGTGTAGTATTAAGTACAACCATGGGGAGTTAAGCTTCTCTTCAGCTTATTAATGCTGCTAAGGAAAGAAGTATGGCACCATAACTATTAATCTAACATTGAAGGAGGTGAAAGAATCTTTAGTGAAGCTGACGGATGTAAAGAAGCATTTCTATAAATAGCATTCTCTTTCCTTAATTAAGGTTTAGTTATCTTCATCTTAGATTTTCTCGGATTCCAAAAGAATACTGTTAGGCCGGCCCAAGAGGCGCCGACTACTCCTATTGAACCGATTTGCTACTAATGCCGCTAGCAGAAGGAAGGGAGAAAGAAGGGGTCGATTGCTCCCATGAGGCCCACACCTTGATTAAAGATTGCTTTGGAGGGAAATGTTTGAATTAGGGGCTATTTAGGGATTATGTACTTCTCTTTTAGCTTTAATTATTTGTTAATGCTAGAATTAGGGTTCCATCTTGAATTTGAATTATAAATTTGAGATCTTCCTTGTGCTTGGGCTCTAGTCGCTTGGCTAGGGATTTGGAGAGTCGTTTCTTTCTCTCGAATTGAAGAAACTTGTATCATTTGCTATTTTATTTCGTTTACCAGTTGAATCCACCATTTTTCTCTTAGATTTCTACAATTTGTCTCAAGTTGTTGCTATCCTATTGATGTTTTGTCTTCAGAAAACAACAGATTTTATGTTTGGAGGTGACTATTTCCTATCAAATTGGTACCACAGCCCGTAGATCCAAGGGTTATCAATGTCCGTAAGGAAGGTTAATGTCTTGGAGGAAGAAGTTGGACAACTAAAGTCAGATTTTGAGGAAAAAACTTTCGATTTTCAGAAGTAGTTTGCATCCATCCATGAAAAGATGGATAGAAGGTTCGCTGCCTTGAAAGACATGTTGAAGAAGATGCTTGAAGACAAACAAAATCTGGTGACATCGGAAGCAAAGGAGATCACCGGTGGCCATGGGAGAGAAGGAAACCTGTTTAGGGAGAGGAAAAATCCAGACGTGGAGATCCTTAAGGGAGATGATGGAATGCCTCCTCTAGAACCACTTTTTAGGGAAGAGATGAGTATGGGCTGCGAAAGGAGGGGTGCTAATTTTCTTGGGAGAATGAAGAATTCTACCATTGAGGTGTTGATTTTGGAAGAAGAATAGGGGAATACAATGAAGGGTTTGGGAATGATCACCCGAGGGAAGATCGTGACAACTGGGGACACCTCCTCTTCAAGGAATAGGAGTTTATGGAGGATTTAAAGGAAATGGGGGTGATCCAAATTAGGTGAGAAAACTGAAGATGTTCATCTTTGAGGATGAGGATGTTCATGGCTGGATTTATAAGATAGAGCATTACTTTATTGTCAATGGGTTAATAGAAGGAAAGAAGCTGACAGCAGCAGTATTGTATTTGGAGGGTAAGACATTGGCATGATACCAATGACGAAACATGAGATAACACATTTAAAGCTAGAGGGAGTCCAATGATTATTTACTATAATATTTTTAAATTGATGGGAGAGGACACTTCTATGAGCAATTTTTTGCCCTGACACAAAAGGAGGCCGTGGCATATTATCGTAATAGGTTTGAGTATCTGGCCAACAGACTTGATTGGATCTTAGAGACAGTGCTAGAGGAAAACTTTATGAAGGAGCTTAAAGCAGAGATTCAGACAGCCATTATGGTGTTGAGGCCAAGAGACCTGGAGAGGCCATGGAGCTAGCACAGTTGGTGGAGGACCAGAAGCATTTAGACAGGGGGGCTAGGGGGAGCGACTCAAGAGGGTTATACAAAATGACCACTACCTTCTTAACTCGCAAGGGACCTACTCTTGGGAGTCTGAGGGAAGTGCTTAAGGAGAGAGCTGAAGGAGGGGGAAATGGGAGAAATTTCAAAAGGCTCATGGAAAAGGAGATACATGAGAAGAGGGCAAAGGAGTTGTGTTTTAAATGTGATGAGAAATATATGCTAGGGCATATGTGTAAGGACCAAACTCTTCAGGTTCTCATCGTCTGTGATGAAGATGAAGTTGAAGAGGGTTTGATTTTTGTACAGTCATGACTTATCTGTTATGTTCTGTTCTTTCTGTCGGTAAGCCATGCACTGTATCTGTATATGATTATTTTGGTGAAAGAAAAGATAGATGAACTACGCTGTAATTGGATGTTTATAGTAGCTCTGTGTTTGTCTTTCTGTCTATATTACATTTGGAAGAAAGTTTTAAAGAAAATTTCAAAGCTAGATCCTGGATTTGTTGGCTCAGTCGCGACCCGATGCGAGTGGGATCCATCCCGGTCGGGTTGGGTCGTGACAAGCTTTAGTGGTATCAGAGCAATAGGTTTGGAATTTGGATTGTAAGACAGAGCTATAGGAAGTGATCTGTGAGTCTGTCTGGGGTAGGTCTGGTTTGTTTTGATTTTTATTCTGTTATTTTGTGCTTAGTTTTCTGTGTGATCATGGATCTATCAGACTCGGATATGACAGATGGGCAGAGTGCCAGTCAGGCAGCTCCAGTGGGTAGTATAGCCCCAGTGGTTCGTTCTGATACACTTTCTCAGTTTGCTATATTGATTGCTCAGATGATGAGCGAGACTCAGAGTAGAGCCTCTACTGTTCGATCTGAAGATATTGATAAACATATGCAGTTATTTCTGAGATTGAAACCTCCGAGGTTTGAGGGCACTGTTGAGCCCAGAGTAGCTGAAGAATGGTTGAGGAGGTTAGAAAAAACTTTTGACGGTATGCAGTGTCCGTCGGACAGGAAGGTACAATTGGCAGTTTTTCTGTTGGATGGAGAAGTAGAACACTGGTGGAAAAGCCAGCAAGAGGCGAAATTTCAGGGGAAGCTAAATTTTTTAATAACTTGGGAAGAATTTTCTGAAGAATTTCGATCGTGGTTTGTGCCTCCTTCTACACGACAGCAGATGCATGAGACTTTTCTGAGGCTTGTTCAG